ACAGGGATGTTATGACGTTAGGTTCGTTAGTTATCTAACTGTTATTTAACGTATTGTACGAATAATTTCACGTGTCTATGAAATTAGAATAAACGAAGAAATTAAGGTAACGACATTGCTCATTAACGTTGTCATTTTCCGAGAAAAATGTTAAATAATATTTGATGTTTTCAGCAGTGAATTTTAACATGCCTTGAACGAAATTTCACGTGCTTTGGGAATTTGAAAGCGCAGCTTGTTTAATTTTTTAATGGAAATGTTGCGCTTCAAAGTAATGGCGTTAATGTAACTATAGAATATGAGATTGTGATAAAATATTTTTTGGAAATTAGAAAATTAATTGCTATCCAGTAGGAAAATTTTTTAATATTTTATTCTATGTTCTAATATTTTGCGTGTCTTTAAATATAGAATTATTTTATTATTTATCCTTTAAAATGCACGATTTTTTCCTGATTGAAAGTGATATTAAACTAACGGGAAGTTATATTGAAGGAAAATTGATTATATATCTTCTGTCAGAATTTGAAAATCAAGTACAAAAGAATTACTGTAAAATTTCTGTTTGAAAGTATTTTATCGTTCTATAGAAATATCTGATTTTTAAATCTAGAATTAAATATGATAAAAAGAATTACTAATTTTAGTTTTTGAAATTACTAAAAATTACTTAATTTTAAAAAAGTTACTAATTTTTCAGTGAAAATTAGAAAATCAATCAGTAAAAAGTTACCAACACATTTCTATTTAAAAATATTCTATTTTTTCCAAATATGTATATAATTTTTATGCCATTTGAATTAAAGTTATGATTATGTGAAACTTGATGAAAAGTAAATTATTCCAAAATCATAAATCAAAATTAGAAAATTATTAGACAAATATTACTAAAATATTTCTGCTTGAAAATACTTCATTATTCTTTAAAAACATGTAATCTTCATTGAATTTCAAATAAAATCTCACAGACATAAAACAATAATTTCAATATAAATTCATTTCTGAATGTTACTGTGTATCGTGTGAATAAACTTCTTTATTCAACGTTATGTAAAATTACAAACATCCCAATTTGAAAATATTTTATTATCTTTTGTATTTTCACTGAATTCGAATTAAAATCACACCGATATACGATAAAACAAAAATTTCAACGTAAATTAATTTCCGAATATTATTGCATCGTGTCAATAAAATGCTCTATAAAATTACAAATATTCCTATTCGAAAATAATTTATTCCTCTCCGTGAACACGTGATTTTCGCTTAATTCGAATTAAAATCACATCGATATAAAATAAAACAATTAATTTCGAATCACGGTGAAAGATAATTAGAATTCTTAATTGTATAAGCTTCCCTACAAATTTGCATTCGTTTTTAAATTCAGTTACAAATGAATATATTCATTCGCGTCGGATAAAAGCAGCCCTCTTTCACGAATAAAAATACGCGGACGAAGAACGGAGTGCTTTTGTTATTAAAATATGTATTTGCGACGTTGTATTTATATTCGGTAACCTATATATTCAATTGTCCATCCCATTTATATTTCATCGCGTAAAAATAATGTAGCTGACAATAAGTAAATTCAGGTTTTTGTCCAAGGCTGATTCTATTCACGTTATTCAAACGACTCGTGTGCTGCTTATAATTTGTAACAAAAGGCATTTATACACTGTTCAATGATTTTGCCCTTTATCGACGTACGAATTAAAGCAATTTACAGTATTGTAATTATACTGGCAAGTTCATACAAATTCCTGAGTAAACAAAGCAGCTGAATATTTTAACGTAATTGTTCCCTTCTCCAGAAACCGTTTCTTTATTATCTTCCGCCATTTTGACAACGATTAAAATAATTAAAAATCCTTATTTTCCTTTCAGAAAATTAATTCGTGAGGTAATTTTTTATATATTTTAAGGTATTTTTGAGTTTATAAATTATTAAATTATATAGTATTAAGTTTATAAGTATATTATTATATAGTATTAAGTTTATAAGTTAAGTTAAATTTAAATTTAAATTGAAATTTATTAAATTTAGCAATTTAGTTGCAATTAAATACTATATTTAGAATACGATTTAGAAATCGAGAACAGAATTTTGTGAAGAGAAAATCGATTAAATCTTTGTACTCGGAAGAAGTTTCGGTTTGTCATTTGCTTTAATGCCATAACTTCAATGCTGTATGAGAAATAATAACTGCAACATATTGGTATTATGGAAAATAACTAGATATGAAATATCGAAATATAATAATTTTTTAAATTTATTTATGATGCAAAAATACGATTCTTTGTTTTATTTTAGTATAAAAGATATTATTGCCTTTATATATTATTATGTACTTTTATTATTATATATTGACTTTATATACATATAACATGTATATATATAATAAAAGTATAAGAGAACAAATTTAAAGCAATTATTTTGATTATCTTACATTTATTAAAAATTGCTGAAGGAAGCGATTTATCAGAAATATATTCATGTAATATTGCTTATGATTGATTTTATGGTAATGCATTTAGTAGTAATACATTCATGAAATTTGTCAAAAAAATTTCATGATTCAGCTGAATTGATAGAAAAAATTCAGGGGAAAAGTAATTTATATAAGTTTGATCATAATTCCCAGCAGGCTGGAACGTAAAAAACAGGATTGGATGAAATGACAGCTCTATAAAATCGAATTTCCTACAAAGTATTAAACCTTTAAAAGTTATAAAAATGGTACTTTTTGCAATAAAATACTTTTTAAGCTTTATTCAGGAAAAAATATATTCTACGATTTTATATGAATAAATTGAATGATAATGAAGAATTAGTAAATATATTTTAAGAAACTTCGTCATAAAATGGCCTATGAAGTTAATAATTATGGTTAATTAAAACTGTCTTCTCTCCCTCACTATTATTATGACTTGCATTAAGCACTCTTTCAGTTCATTCTCTTCCTCTCTCACTCACTTTCTGCAATTGTCTCCTTCCAAATAAATTAACATTACAAACTAACATTAATCACATTACATTACATTAAATTACAAATCAACACTCACACCACACCATCTCTTATGATGTGCGAGACTCGTGGTAAGAACATTGGGCCAAACACGAGTTTCACGGTTGAGAGACGTGGCTCGTAGATAGGGTCCAACGTAAACATCATGGGTCAGACTCCTCTTTAATTTTCGTCAACGTTTTTCTGTTTCAGTTTCGTGTTATTCTCTGTTACGTTCAGACGAAATGGTTCGACGAGTCTCGACGTGCACTATGCGCCCGCGAGAAGAAGGCACAACGTGTTTACACCTTCACGGTTCACTAACTCCGCTGACACTTCCATGATCACAGGCAGTGACCGTTATTAGCTAAAGACGGTGACGAAGATCATCTTGGGGTCGTAGTGAGACCGAGTGAGACAAAATAATGGCGGCATCGGTGTAGTCTTTCAATTGTAATGTTAGCTTTCTGTTTCTTAATAGTTCACATTTAGATTGAAAGACTATGCCGATGCTGCCATTATTTTGTCTCGTTCGGTCTCACTACGTCCCATCAATGATCTTTGTCACTGTCTTCTGCCATTAGTGGTTACTGCCTGTGATTATAGAAGTGTCAATGAACTTCGGCAGGAGTGGGGATGTATACGTGCTATGCCTTCTTCTTGCGGACGCATAGTATACACGACGTTGCTGTTGATTATGGCACGCGCCATCGGAACTTAAATGGTAAGTGCTTAATTCTTCATATTTTTCTTCTTTTTAACTTTTTCGTGAAGTAATTATCTTTAGTTACTATTTTCGTAAAGTAATCATCCTTAGAAAATTAAAATCCGAACGAACGTAATTAAAAAATAATTATTTTTTATCACTTTTAATTTAATTTAATGTGATAAGTAATGTGTAAGTGATTTACATGAAATAAATTCTACCATATACACACGTACATTGACACAGGAATAATAGTGATATTACGTAGGAAAATTTATGTTAAATAATTAAAGATAATAATTCTATTCTATGAAATATATATTTTATGTTTTAAATGAATTTATTTTATCCAAAACTGTCTTAAATAACTGAAATAAAATACCTATTTTAATTTACAAAAATTAGAGAATAAGCAAACAAGTAAAAGTACATGGTGCATAGAAAAATATTCTTTCGAATAATTTCTGAATGTATTTAGTTTGTTGTTTAATTTCTAGTTCGTGTTTCTATATATTAAATCAACGTTTCGTGTATTGTAATTGCGTGCAGGTACGTTTCTTCACTCGTAATTTTTTTTCTCGAAAAACCTTAATTTATAATTGTCTATAGAACAATATATTTCCCTTATAGCTTATCACCAACTTTTATAATAATAGCGTTGATGATTTAAAAAGTTCATATTTTAGCCTTCAATTTAAAAATTTTTAAATTGGTCAGATATTTTTCACTTATAAATAAAAATTTTATACCAATACTGCTAGTAATTTAGAAAATTGATACACGAATTATCTTTACAAACGTAAAAATAGAAAATTCCCTAGATATTTCTAACTCATTAATTAAAATTTTATACTAATTATCCTAATTTAAAAAATCCCTACAAAAATAAACTATACCTCAGATTTAAATTTCAAATTTGAGAAACTGATTAGAAATCTGAGCCCTTCACGTGTCAAATCAAAATCCATAATATAAATTCATTTTATTCAATCCAAAATATAAATTCATTCCAAATATAAAGACCTAAGCTCCCATTAGGTGTCCCAGCATCAAAATTTAAACAAAATAAAAAATTAAACAGATTAAAAGTTAATTACTAATTTGTGAATGGTTCATTTATTATTTACAATCTTTATATTCCGAGCTATTTAACTTTCGACACCGAATAGCAAGATGAGGGTCTGTCCAAGAAGAAATAATGGGAACAAAGGGAAGTTTGATCTCTGAGTCGGCCAGCGATACGTGCCCATGGGATATTAGCGGTGTAACGAGTATTAATGACTCACCTGTGGCTGAGGGACGCAGGTTAGATCTATGGTGTCGCCCAACATGTCAGGGTCTATTACTCTAATACCCGGAAGAATTGTCGAGCCAACTGGAAGGTCCTCCTCGGCTACAGCCTCGTATGGCACGTTCAGAAAATGTGGTGGATTGTCGTTCTCGTCCAAAACGATCACGAATGCGTCCACGCCGACGATGTTCGGCTGTTGGCCCGCAGGTACTTCATCTTCCAACGTCACGCGAAACCGTATTGTATCATTCTCCTGAAACAGTCGAATAATCTTCATGAGTATCGAGTATTTACTAATTTCAGGATCAAAGCTGACTAGTAAGTCTTAATTTTAATATTTTTCTATCTTTTTTTTGAAATTTCTATTTTTCTAGCGAATTTCAGACCATTTTTCTGCTTAAAATTCGAGAAGGTAGAAACGAGATTTTGTAAGCTTCTTTACTTTCTTATACTTGGCTTCTCTTTTCTCTCTTTTTCCCCTTTTTTCTCTTTTTCATTAAAGTACGTATACAGGTAGGTATTTCCCACAATTTGGGATAAATCGGAACAAAATAACCTAATTCGGGCAACTAGGTGCCCTGAATTATTTATCAAAATATTCAGGACACGAGATGAAAACTTTGAATTCTTTCAATTCCTTTTAGAAAATTCTCACGATCACTATACAGTGTATAGTATATGTAGGGATGATGGTATGTATTGTGAAGTGAACTGGATTAGAGAATTAGAAGTGTAAATGAAAAATGGTTAGTGTATTGGATCATCAGTATGTTAGTATACATTGTAAGCAGTACAATATTTTAATTGCAGGTACTACAATTGTATTGTATAATTTATGCAGAGTTTGTACAAATGGAATGACACATGAGGAAAATATTTTGCACGATCTGTCTGACTTCTCTGATATTTTCTTCTGTCATAGCAATAGAATAAGTTACGTCGTCGTTATTTTTATCTTGTATCAGATACTTCATCTTTCATCTGTCCTGTTCACTCTCTTCGTTACAAAATGTGATATAATTTTATTCGTAGATTTGATATTTTCAGCTAACAATGAAAATTTTGATGATCTATCTTTATAACTGTTAGAGAAGATGAACCTATTATACTATCATTTCGAATTTCAATCTGTATGTACAGGGATGTATATTATTTCTGGAAATGGGTGTTTGAGATATTGTAGTTTTATTTCGTATCACGGTATTATTGTAGTTACACAGTGTATAGTAGAATTCCATTAATCCATGATCCAATGAATTACACGGTCTAAGTAGATCCAGTAGACTAGTATCCCATGACAGTATCCCACAAACGTCATTCAACAACCTCGGTAATCGATTAACACATTCAAGATCAATGATAAGGTACACGAGTCATTTAATATCTCACCCGTGTAGCTGATGACTCAGTGTGTGCGTATTATCGGTTAGTGCACAGACCACTGCGTGCATCAATTTATTCGAAAGTCTAACTATAAGTACAGAATGAAGTGTGTATAAAATAACAATATTTCGTTGATAATGTTAATAATATATTATTAATAACGTTAATTATAATTCGTTGATATTTTATTATAAAATCAATGACGTTAATTATAATTTGTTGATATTTTAATTTCTTCAATTATTATATTATCTAGAAAAATATAGCCAAATTTCGGAAATCCTACTGCAATAATTTGGATTCAATTATATCTAAAAGAATATAGCCAACTTTTGGGAATTCTTCTGCAATAATTTGGATTTAATTATATCTAGGAAAATATAGCCAAATTTTGGGAATTCTGCCGAAATAATTTGGATTTAAATATATTATACAAGAATACTTTTAAAACTGATTATTGTCAAGGCCAATTTAAATTGTGCTATGCTTCTGTTCACTTTTATTGTGACAATCTTACTAACTGATATCCTGTTCATAAAGAGGATATAAAAAGGATCATATCAATTGAAATGTTATTGTCACTGGACAACATTTTCATTCCAGTATTTTAGTTGAAAGTAGAGGACTTACAAGTGAAAATTAAAAAGCGTGGTCCACTATCCAGGCACAAGAAGTACAAATCGATGAGACATAGGTCCTGTTTTCACTCCAGGTCATCTTCAGTCAATTAATCTTGGATAACGAACATTAATTGAGAGAAAAACAAACGTCGTTAAGTTTCAAGGAACCATCTATCCACTGCACAGAGTGGCACCTCGTTTGGGAAGCTTTCAAGCTTTCGAGTTTAACGAACAAGATTTCTTTTAGTTGATGCATCAAAATCAACACTCCTAACTGGCTAACAGACTATGCTTTTCCTTAACGATTATCCTTCTATTTATTCTTAATGTTCATTCATTCAAAATGATAATGATCATGATGATAATGATGATATATCATTGAACGCGATATGATAGATACGAATTTCAAATTTTCTTTAGAAGTGTTTTTCAACAAATATTGAAATAATTTAGTCGTCAATCCATTATTTCACTCCTTAATATCTCTTTTCAAATCTTTTAATTGTCATTTGAAAATTTGTATACTGCTTTTCTCGAAGCTTTTCAAACCATGTTACTTTGGTTTAATACCTTGACTCGTTTTAGTGAACTCTTTCAGTCGACACTAAAAGAGTTAAGCTGCAATCACACGATGTCAACCTCTTTGAGTAGTTGCTTTAACACCTGTATACAGCTCATTACATTTACTGTCAGTAGAAGCAATAAAATCCTTCAATTCTTGCAACGTGAATATTCGAGATAAATATGTGCATTATATTTGTTTTCTAAAATGAAGAAAAGTGAAACAATTTTGCAGGGACACTTTGTTAATATAAATATTAAATATTATAATATTATAAGTACTATATATATACTAATATTATAGTACTGTAAATATTAACTAAATATAAACTATGTTAATATAAATGCAAGACATCTGTTTAATAAATTATCTCAGCTGTAAAATATTTATTAACACCTGTTACTATTGATCTATTTTCCATTTTTCTATTCTGCACATCACAGACCTATACCTACATGCTTATGAAGCATTTCCAAGTACCTTCCACTTTACAAAATGTCAAGAAATCTTCAAATGTTTAATCACATATAGCAGAAATCTACAATTAGAATAAGACAATCATGTTATTAATCCTTTGACATAAATTAGCCATTTGGAGTGACCTTTCAGTGACAAGCTATTTTTCCTATGAATTAATAAATAATTATCACACACAAAGAGAGTTTAAGAGAATTTGTAACACGTGTTATCCATTCTATAGACCAGATTTTACTAGTCTATTGCAATTCTGTTGGGAAGATTATTAGAGGAAGACCTAATGCCTTCACAGGCAACCTAAAAGGCAAAATCGTGTGCTTTCGTGGTTAACTGAGGCCTCGGAACCTTGCATATATTAGAGGTTGGCTTCGCAGGCACAACGTATGTCACAGTATAAGTGGATTGTACAGCGAATCTAAACTATTACTGAAGTTGGAACAATGAAAATGAATATGCGCGTGATAGAGAGAACTGGTCTGCTCTTGCATTCCCTTCTCCATATGGAATCGATGTAAATTCTCCTTGCATCAATCATTTTTCGTTCAGTCGAGGGAATGTCACTCATACTATCGATCAACGTGGTTAGTTTGGTGAAAGGGGAAAAGGTGTGGACCAATTCCCATGGCAGATATTACTAAACACAGAAGCGGTAAAGATTTGCATATCAACTCTGACCATTTTGAGTTCGGTGAATGTGTACCTTCACTGAAGCGTTCCGTGAATGTGAAAGACTTCGTTCGATTGCAAATAATGAATTCACATTCACTATTGGTTACACACCATTTCCCCCGATCGTTTGATTTTATTATCAAGGATTGATTGATTTCGAAGAGAGATTTTCTTTGTTCTATTCACTATAGTTTAAATTATTGTCAACGCACGGAGTGTCATAGATCAATCATAGTGTCACCATCTAATGATATATTTTGGATTAAATACTTAATTTACAGGTGATCTTCAATTTGATTATACAGTCACTGTCTTTGGGCCAAAGCTGACCCTAATGACATTAAATCCATTTTCTTAATTGTATAATAATGAAGAAATGAGTATAATAATTAGTCGTATTTGTAAGTGTGACAATTCCAGTCAATGACAAAAATTCATGTGGTTTATCTCTATCACTGTGTTTGAGAAACTGGACATAGATTATGACCACTCGTGTCCTACATTATTAATCGGACTTACGTTCTTCCTAAATCCTAATTTAATAGTTACACATAGTAAATACCTATTACGGATTAAATGATTAAACTGCAGTATACTTTAGATCAGCATTTCTCAATTTTTGTATTACTATTCAATATTGGTTCACGTAAAATTCTTGACTGATCGTAAAATAAGAATCATTAAACCAAAATTCTTCTAAAATTACCTTTCAGGACTGCCCAATATTAATTAAAGAAAGAGGAAAACTAAGTACCAAGGAACTAGGCACTAATAGATTTAACCCCTTGCACTACAATGATTTTTCTAATTTTTTTTACTAAGCCGACAAGTTAAATTGTAATACGTTTCCATAAAAATGTTTTCATTTTGATTAAATATGAAAAATAATCCCGAATTGATTGGTAGCCTTCTTGTGCCAAGAGTTAGGTTAGGTTAAATACCGTAATTAAAGCAAGAAAACTAGAGGTACCAACAGATTTAACTCTTTGCACTACAATGACGAGTCTAACTCGTCACGAATTCTTCATGTCAAATCTCACGATTATAAGCTATACTAATTACGTGACCATAACTACGTTTCATACGTTTTACCTTGCACAAAATTCGAAAAATTTCTAAAATTTGTATATAATTTCGTGGTACATAGAATAGGTATATATTGGTTAACTGAAATTAAATATTACTTCGATGTATACTTTTTCATAAATAAATCATAGTGCAAGAAATTAGAAGTAGCTTTAGACGATGTTCAATGTTTAAAAGCAATTTGTTGCATTCATTACTGAAGCCTACCTTAAATTACTGAATTGTCGCTAATAACCTCAGTAATAGATGCGACATTAACCCTTTGACTACAGTGGGCACCTAAAGGCGCTCAGAAATCTTGCTTTTGTAATACTGTGAACATCAAAAGCATCTCAAAAATCCTTTTTCCTGTTAAATTTCAAGTATGAACAGTAACAATTTACTGCAGAATACAAAGAAATAAATAATGTTATTTTAATATAGTGGAATATAGTGTTTCGATTATTGTTTGAATAT